CGGCGGTGGACTCGATGGAGCGCGCTGTAGTGCGCTGTGTGCCCTCCGAGCCGAAGCTCAGCCTGTCGTTCTCGTTGGCCGATGGCAGCCACAAGAACATGCAGCGCGACCAGAGCGAGCCGCTGGGTCGAGTCCTCAGCCGGATCGCCACCAACGCCCTTAAAGGCCACGCGAAAGCGGCCGCGGCCAAGAAGAGCCGGAAGAACCGGCCAAACGCCAGCGGCGGCGGAGCCTGTGCGGGGCCTGGGTCTGAGCAGGCGGCGGCCTGCGAGCCCGTGGTGAAGCTGTACTACCGGGAGGAGGCGGTGGCCGAAGATGTGCTCAACGTGGACGCCTGGCAGGACGGTGCGGTGCTGCAGATCGGCGATGTCAAGTACAAGGTGGAGCGCAACCCGCCCGCCTTCACCGAGCTGCAGTTGCCACGGTACATCATGGCCGGCTTCCCGGTGTGCCCCAAGCTCAGCCTCGAGTTTGGGGATCCCGCCGGCTCCCTCTTCCGCTGGTACAGGGAAGCCAAACCGGGATCGGCGGAGCCTGAGGGCGGGGGCCCCTCGTCATTGTCGCCCTCCTCGCCCAGTACTAGCTGGACGAGCACGGGCGTGGACGAGCGCGTCTACACCCCGTCCAATGCCGATATCGGGCTGCGTCTCAAGCTTCATTGCACCCCAGGCAATGGGCAGCGCTTCGGGCCCAGCCGGGAGTTGGAAAGTGTGTGTCCAGTGGAGGCTGGGCCCGGCACTTGCACCTTCGATCACCGGCATCTCTACACGAAGAAGGTGACGGACGACGCGCTCATCCGCACGGTCTCCTACAACATCCTCGCCGACACGTACGCCCAGACCGAGTTTTCGCGGACCATCCTGTACCCGTACTGCGCCCCTTACGCCCTGGAGCTCGACTACCGTCAGAACCTGATCCAGAAGGAACTCACCGGCTACAACGCCGACCTCATCTGTTTGCAGGAGGTTGACCGCTGCGTGTTCACGGACAGCTTGGTGCCGGCCCTCGAGGCCTTTGGGCTGGAGGGCGTGTTTCGAATCAAGCAGCAGGAAGGCCTGGCTACCTTCTACCGAAAGTCCAAGTTCAGCCTCCTTAGCCAGCATGACATTTCTTTCCACGAGGCCCTGCAGTCCGACCCACTTCACAAAGAACTGCTGGAGAAATTAGTGTTGAACCCATCGGCCCAGGAGAGGGTGTTCCAGAGGTCTTCTGTCCTTCAGGTAAAGCAGCTCCGCCAGTCTCTTTACACACTCATCCATGTTTAGGGTCCTGGAAAGGGAGTGTGGGTGGGGCTGCCTGTAATTGGGTGAAACCATCCAGATTTTACTGAAAGGTGTTTGCCCGTGTACCTTCAGCAGGAAGGTTAACCGTCGTTCATTCATTGAGCAAGTACTTAGCACTCCAGTGTGCCAGGCATGCTGCAGGTTGCCTTGAGCAAGACAAACGGGGACTTTATTCGTGCTTATAACCTAGTGGGAGAGATACATGCTAACTACAAGGATAATGGGAATAGCTAATATTTCCTTACCACTTGCCAAGAACTGTTCCGACACGTTCTGAAGTACTTTAGTGTCTGACATGTTTTACAAAGTACTCCATAAATACTAGCTATTATTTTAATTTTTGGTTCATAGTAATCCTGCTATTCCCATTATTTAGATATTAGCCTTCCTATTTTATAAATGGGGAAATGGCCAAGTTTACTTATCCAAGTTCATTAGTCCCTTGGTAGCTGTCCTGGGCATCAGATGGACTGTCACAGTACTCATGTTCAAGTAACCCTTATAGTAGCCTCACACCGTTACACTGCCTGCCTCTTCACCTCACTTCATTCCTCCCGTAGAGTGAGTACAATACAATATTTTGAGAGAGAGTTCACATTACTTTTATTACAGTATATGCAGTGTTATAATTGTTCTATTTTATTATTAGTTATTGTTCATCTCTTACTGTGCCTAATTTATAAATTAAACTTTATCATAGGTATGTATGTATAGGAAAACATAGTGTATATATAGGGTTTGGTACTTTTTGTGGTCTCAGGCATCCACTGAGGATCTTAGAATATATTTCCCATGGATAAGGAGACACTACTGTATTCAAAAACTTTTAGCCCTGGCAGGGTAGCTCAGTTGATTAGAGTGTCATCCTGATATGCTGAAGTTTCGGGTTCCATACCCCGTCAGAGCACAAACAGGAATCAACCAATGAACGAATAATAAATAAGTGGAACAACAAATCAATGTGTTTCGTTTCCTCCCTACCCCTCCTTCTTCCTCCTCTCTCCTTAAAATCAATTTTTAAAAAAAACACCTTTTAACAAAAGTTAAATTTCAGTTATGATTATACTTCATCAGTATGGGAAGGATATAGAATAAAATGTTATTTCATCTTATAGTCTTAGATTTAAAAAACATTCAGGAGATTGGCAGATAGCAACTGAAGTCTTAACACTTTCTGTATGTTTTAGGTTTCTGTTCTTCAGTCTACAAAGGACTCTTCTAAAAAGATATGTGTTGCTAATACCCATCTCTACTGGCATCCCAAAGGTAGGTTTTATTGGTTTTCACAAGTAACTTAAACATGGTAACTTTAGGTCAGTAAAGCTGTTTTACACAAATATATATATTTTTTCTTTAAGTTTTATTGAGATATAATTGACATACAACACTGTACAAGTTTAAGGTGTACAACATAATGACTTGATTTGCATACATTGCAAAAATGATTACCACAACAAACTTATATAAATACCAAAAAAAGGTGGGGGTTTTTTTCTTGTGATGAGAATTTTCAGGATTTATTCTCTTAGCAACTTTCAAATATCGATACAGCAGTGTTAACTATACTCATGTTGTACATTAAATCCTCAGTACTTATTTATCTTATAACTGAAAGTTTGTACCTTTTGACTACCTCTATCTAATCTTTTACACACACAAATACACATCTTGAATGTCACACAAATGCTGTAGTTTGTTTTGTTTCTTGTTTGTTTTAACTTAAAGGCAATTTAAAAGGTACTTACATTAATGTTTTTTATATTCATAGGTGGGTACATTCGTCTCATTCAAATAGCAGTAGCCTTGGCTCACATTAGACATGTCTCATGTGATCTGTATCCTGGCATACCAGTTATATTTTGTGGGGACTTTAATAGTACCCCATCAACAGGAATGTATCATTTTGTCATCAATGGCAACATTCCAGAGGATCATGAAGACTGGGCTTCCTATGGGGAAGAGGAACGATGCAACATGTCTCTTACCCATTTCTTGAAACTGAAAAGTGCTTGTGGTGAACCTGCTTACACAAATTATGTTGGTGGCTTTCATGGATGTCTGGATTACATTTTCATTGACTTAAATGCTTTAGAGGTTGAACAGGTGATTCCACTACCTAGTCATGAAGAAGTTACCACCCACCAGGCCTTACCTAGTGTTTCTCATCCCTCGGATCACATAGCACTTGTATGTGATTTAAAATGGAAATAGATTTGTGTTTAATGGAATTTAAGTCTGCTTTACTAAGAGATATTTAATATGAATCAAAGTTTATGTGTAACCTTCAAAGAGGAAAACTAGACACCAGGTTCTTAGTTCTTACCCTACTAGTTATGTTTTAATGTCTTCATTACATGACTTCATAATCTTTGCATAATATAGTTTCTGTACTCTCCACCCCCCCCCCCCCCCCCCCCTGGAGGAAAAACAAATATATTTATGACTGGCAGGGAACATTGAATTATTGTGTACATTTTATAAATACTTTTTTTTTAGCCTCGCTATTAAGAATTTTGTAAAATACCATTTGAATGATGCTATAATTTTTCTATCATAACACATATTTCCAATTGAATCATGTTTATATAATTAGGGGGGAAATGCATACAAGTTAAGGTGAGAGGCCTAAGTTCTGATATGTGAGAGGAATAACATTAGGGCCTACCTCTACCTCAATTTGGTTAGCAATTTAATACAACTTGAGAACTTTAACAAAAGATTAAAATATTGTTATTGCTTCTCATCTTTCATTTTTCAATTAACATAGTTTCATTCTCTTATTTTTAGGATTTTAGTTGTTAGTACAACTAAATATGGTACAAATGAACATATATGTTTTTTACTGCAGCTCATTTTAATTTTTAGGATGCAAGCACAACTTAATATTCAAAGTGAATAGCAACAAAGTCAACTTTATCCCTTTGTCTTTAAGTACTCTTGCCCATGAAAAGTGTTCATAAATTAACAGAAAGTGACCATGTGATATTAGAGAATACAGCACAATACATTATGAGAAACTGCTGACTGGTGTGGGCTTTAAATTTTGGATGAACTATTGAGCATTTCTGTTAGAAGTATTTTTGAAATTACTGGTTTTACAAATAGAAAAGGGAGTAGTGGGGCTTTTGAAGATCTTGGAAATAAACATCCTTTTATAGGCTTAAGCATTACAATTTGAGTTGCAGGTAAACATTATTATATAATTTATATACTGTAAAAAAATTTTTAATATGAAGCCAAACTTTATAAAATTAGAAATTACAGTTTTACTGAATGGTATCTGGCCTAGAGTGGTAACCAAGCTTTTCTAACTCAATTATCACCATACCTAATTTGTAATACTTTAGCTGTTGTTGTTTTTTTTGATGTTTGGGAAAACTGAAATGTTATCTCATTTCTGCATTTAATTTCCAGCTTAGATATTAAAAGCCCATCCACTTCAAGAAGAGCTCTTTCCACAGTTGTGAGAGCTTTTACTCCAAATTCTTTCATTTTTTTCATCTTAAACCCAACACTGTAAGAACTTTACTCTTGATAAAGTAGCCTATACTTTCATATTCTGCTCACTAGCCATTGTATTTTTAACTCTTAGTTTAGTAAGTTTGAGAATGAGAAGGTTTTACATGCACTTTAGATTGAACTTTGAAGTACTTAAAAGTACTTGAGGGGGGAAATTAAGGTAGCAGTTTCTTGGGATTTTTTTTAGAAAAAGCTATAAATGAAAAATTGATATTACCATATTGTGCTTTCCTAAATAACATTTTTGAGAGCATTTTAACATCAGTTTACAAATACATAAATATTAAAGCCAGAAGCTGATTCTTTTGAAAAAACTTTTTTTTCTTTTTAAAATTTGGTTTTGGTCTGCCTTCAAACAAAGATGTTGACAGGGTCTTACAATAACTTGAGAGAAAACAAAAAGCTTCTAAGTGAAAAGTTGAGAAACACTTTGAAAGAAAAAATTATAACATGATATACTCATGCCCAAGAGAAAAACATATAGGTCCTATTGAACTCTGGTCAGAAAAACTCTAAACACTTATAAAACATTCCACATCTGGAATCTTTAAATTTTTTATTTGCTGACTAAACAGTGTGATCAGATTGTATATAAGCATTTCAGAATAATTGAGTATAGAATATTATAAAGTGCCACATACTCTGATTAAATCTTCAGTATACAGTTATGTTAGTATAATTGGGAGTCCAACGGTAGGGAACACTAAGAAAACTGAATAAATATCATACCAAAATTTCCTTATATTCCAGTTAGAATAAAGCATCATTCAGAAATGTTTGTGTTTAAAGCCATCTTTGTGACTGAATTTTTCAATTATATTTGGATTTTTAGTACATTTAATTTTAATAAAATATGGAAAGTCTAACTCTATGGTGAACCACGTTTTAAGATGTCATTAGTTCTTGCTGTAGGAATTAACATTCTAAAGTTTTATATTGATTATAAATGACTAAGAATATATAGAACACATCCTGTTCTTGAACTTTGGCACAGTTGCTACTTTAGTATACACTGGTAATTCATACTTCATTAGCAAACATTCCTGGCTATAATACAATGTTCTTTAAAATTCTGAATACTAATATCTGTTGTTTCAAATTTCCAAGAGTTTCACTGGGTGATGACTTTTCTGAGAGAATTAAGACCTGATTATCATCAGAATGTGGTGATTTCAGACTGGAAGTAGATCTCTGAGGAACATAATATAAGAGAGAGAGGGTCCAAAGAATACTACTGTGGTAAGAGCTCCTGGTGGAAACTGACACCTTTGGCTCTCATATTCTCCAGCTATGAAATACAGGCAGAAGTTCCCTACAAACTAGTTTGAGACAAAACCAAAACACATACATATTGAAGGGTAAAAGTTTGCACTACTAGTTTATCACAAGACCCACATGGCAACTCAATAGGGAAAATCTTTCCTCTAAAAAATTAGAGTCGCTGTAACAGGTTTGGCTCAGTGGAAAGAGCGTCGGCCTTCGGACTGAGGGGTCCCAGGTTCGATTCCAGTCAAGGGCATGTACCTGGGTTGCTGGCACATCCCCAGTGGGAGATGTGCAGGAGGCAGCTGATCGATGTTTCTCTCTCATCGATGTTTCTAACTATCTCCCTTCCTCTCTGTAAAAAATCAATAAAATATATTTAAAAAAATAAATAAAATAAAAAATTAGAGTCAACACTGGTTTTCTAAACATCCCAAAACATTTTGAAATATATATATTTTATTGATTTCAGAGAGGAAGGGAGAGGGAGAGATAGAAATATCATTGATGAGACAGAATTATTGATTGGCTGCCTCCTGTATGCCCCCTACTGGGGATCAAGTCTGAAACCAGGACCCTTCAGGCCGCAGGCCAACTCTATCCACTGAGCCAAATCAGCTAGGGCCAAAAACATTTTGTTTAAAAATTTTTAATATTTTGCTCAATAGTACTAGAAGGAAATACTATCTAGATTTCGTTTGGGAGATGAAATAATTCAAGAGCTTTAACTGATTTGGGTAATATTCCAATGCATAAAGCCTCGCTTTATGTGAAAGTCCATGCTTTAATTTTATTGAAGGTATTAGAGCTGTTTTTGGGTGGTTTTTGAAGCACTAACTTTAGAATAACAATACATTCTGAGATGACAGTACCAAAGCATTTTCAAAAAATGTATTTTTATTGATTTCAGAAAGGAAGGGAGAGGGAGAAAGAAATAGAAACATCAATGATGAGAATCATTGATCGGCTGCCTTCTGCCCCTCCCCCACACCCCTCCCACTGGGGATGGAGCCTGGGCCCCGACTGGGAATCTGACTGTGACCTGGTTCATAGGTCAACACTTAATCACTGAGCCACCACAGCCCGGCAAAAGCATTTCTTTTAATTGAAGTGAAATTCACATAAAACCAACCATTTTAATGTGATCCCATTGCATTCAGTATAATCATGATGTGGTGTGGTGCAACCACCATCTCTAGTTCCAAAACAGTTTCATCACCTCTAAAGGGAACCCTTTATCCATTAAGCAGTCACTTTCTACCCCTCCAGCCTTGGCAACTACTAATCTGCTTTCTGCCTCAATGGATTTCCCTATTCTGGATATTTCATATAAATGGAATCATATAATATGTGACCTTTTGTGTCTGGTTTCTTTTACTTAGCACAATGTTTTTAAGGCTAATCCATGTTGTGTCAGTACTTCATTCCTTTGTATGGCTGAATAATATTCCATTGTATGGTTATGCCACACTTTATTTATCCAAATGGACATTTGGCTTGTTTCCACCTTTTGGCTATTTTGTGAATAATGCTGCTGTGAACATTTGTGTATAAGTTTTGTCTGGGCATGTTTTAAATTCTTTCAGTTATGTAACTAAGAGTGGTTGTGGGGCCATATGGTAATTGCATTTAACTTTTTAAGAAGCTGCCAAAATGTTTTCCATAGTGGCCACACAATTTTACATTCCCACCAGCAATGTATGAGTTTCAATTCCTCCATATCCTTACCAACTTATTTTACATTTTAAAAAATTTAGTTGTGGAAGTGGATGTGAGGTGGCATCTCTACCAATGCATTTTAAACTTGCTTAGTCCAATCAATTATGTTGTCGCAGTCATGAACTAGATTATTCACAATGGATTATACAACCTTCTATATTTTTTCCAGAGAGCTCATCATCTTCAGCAATTCCTACTTTTATAAGCTTGTGTCAAGCTAGAAAGGTCAGTCTTGTTGCTTCTTTTAAAAAGATTTGGGAAGAGAAACATTACACACACACACAACCCCAAAGCCCTGGAGTGTAAAATAAATTAGAAAGAATTAGAAGTCTGTGATAAAAACAACAAAAAAAGTGGGTCTACAGTGATTTCAGAGAATTTGCTTACTAATGTTGGCTTTTAAATGCTTTAGCCATGTTCCACTGTTACCCACCACTCTTAAAATCCCAATTTAGGTACAGAGTAGCAGCAGATGGCATGAATGCCTAAACACTAATATCTGAGAAAACTGAGCTGTCTATGGCTGAATATACCTTACCAAGTTGTAACACATAATCATAAAAAGAGACTAAACTTTGATTTTTAAAAACCTTACATTTTGAAAAAAAATCTTAAACTCAAAATAAACTTTAAAAAAAATTGAACTAATGACTTTAAAAATTATAATATGCCCGGCTGGTGTGGCTCAGTTGGTTGAGCGTCAACCTATGAACCAGGAGGTCATGGTTTAATTCCTGATCAGTGCACTTGCCCAGGTTGCGGGCTCCATCCCCGGTAGGGGGCGTGCAGGAGGCAGCTGATCAATGATTCTTATTGATGTTCCTCTCTCTCCCTTTCTTCTCTAAAAATCAATAAAAAAATAATTTTTAAAAATTATAATATGTTCTATTTCAGGATTAATTTATCAGTATACAAGTCCTTTTTCTATTACGGTTTTTGCTTTAAATTCTATTTTTTTAAAATATATTTTTATTCGTTTCAGAGAGGAAGGGAGAGGGAGAGATAGAAACATCAATGATGAGAGAGAACCATTGATCAGCTGCCTCCTGCATGCCCATAGCTCCACACTGGGGAATAAGCCCACAATCCGGGCATGTGCCATACCAAGAATCCAACCATGACCCCTGGGTTCATAGCTGGACACTCAACCATTGAGCCATGCCAACTGGGCTGCTTTAAATTCTATTTAAATAGGACAAAAAGCTATCATAGCTGTTTTTATTTCTTGTTTGTCTTGTAAAAATTTGTTATATTGTGAATAGAATATTTTTTCCATTTTATTGCAAGCTAGTTATTTGCAATTCAGAACTTTTTGTATTTTTTTTTAATATATTTCTTTATTGATTTCAGAGAGGAAGGAAGAGGGAGCGAGAGATAGAAGCATCAATGATGAGAATCATTGATCGGCTGCCTCCTGCACTCCCCACACTGGGGATCGAGCCCGCAACCCAGGCGTGTGCCCTTGGCCAGAATCGAACCTGGGACCCTTCAGTCCGCAGGCCGACGCTCCATTCACTGAGCCAAACTGGCTAGGGCAACTTTTTGTATTTTTATAGCCAGTTATATTACCAGGTTCCCTGGGTAATTAGAATAGTTTGTGTGGTTTTTTTTAATTATTATTTTATAGATTTCACTTGAGTCTTTAGCAATAAAGGAAAGAGAATTTATCTTTCCCAATATTTATACCAATCATTTTATTTTATTGCTATGCTGTTATTTGTTGAATTATAGATTCATGCTTTGGGCATGATTTTAATGGAAGTGGCTTTAGAATTATTTTTATTTTTTGCTAACTTGTCCTTTATCATTTAGATATTTTTTATTTGAGGATTTTTTTATTTTCATTTTTTTAATATTTATGAATTTTCACAATTTTCTGGATGTGGTTTAATCATAACAAGTCTATTAGTGATGATCACGTAGTGATGTTTTCTTTTTTTAATTTGTTAATGGAAATGATTTCTCTTATAGATTTCCCAATATTGAACCATCCTTGTACTTCTATAATAAATTCTACTTGGTCAAAGCATAAAAAAACACAAAAACTACAATATGGAAAAAATATTTTGTTAAGTTAGCCATCTTCACAGTGTATTGAATCATATTGAAGCCAGGTGTTAAAATTAACATTTTCTATATAAATGATAGTCTTTAAATTGCAGATCTTAAAAATACTAAATCTTTTTGTTCAGTTGGCTGCAACCCCTCAATATAACTAGTAATTAACAGATGGATTCATTTTGCTAACAAAATCCATGTTCAGTCCTAGCCAGTTTTGCTTAGTGGAAGCGTCAGCCTGCGGACCAAAGGGTCCTGGGTTCGAATCCAGTCAAGGGCACGAACCTCAGTTGCAGGCTCCTCCCTGGCCCTGGGGGCTCGTGCAGGAGGCAACCAATTGATGTTTTTCTCTCACATCAATATTTCTCTGTCTTTCCCTCTCTTCCACTCTCTAAAATAATCAATGGAAAAATAGCCTCAATTTCCAAACTGAATCATCTCTACCTTCTGTCCATTTTGCATTGATTGTATGTCAAAGGGTTTATATAATGCAATCCATTTTGCCCAGTACTCACTTTAATGATATCCTAGAATGTTACTGTATTAAAATATTCCTCGTTTTCATTTTTGCTGATTTCATCTCATTTTGTTCTATAATTGAAAATGGTTAAGTAGGGAATTGGATAGGCTTTATTTAGTTGGCTTTCTTATATTGGATGAGCAATATACAGACTTTTCAAAGTATCGCCTATAATCTTTATTTCCCCTGTGGAATAATTTGAAGAAATGGTGTATCCATGGATACATTTACAAACAGCTGGCCCTTAGAAAATCTGAGTGAAGTATAGCGTTTTAAAGGATATAAAACCAAAGACTATTTCTGAAGCTGTAGAATGTT